CCCCAAAACCCCAAAACCCCAAAACCCCAAAACCCCAGACAAAATAAATATTATTGAATTTTGATAGACAATGGAGAAAGGTATTCCGTCATAGCCTATTCTGTTTCCGAGGTGACCACATAAGGTGTGATCATAGCTGGAAACTGCTCAAGAGCTCCATATTTCCCTTCTTTGAAGCATATTTCTACTCCTTAGCCTCCCTCTGAGATGATCATTTAGACATGGAATTAAGTGCAGAAAGGAACCAATCCTTTATGCGATCTACTATAAATCTTAAAAATGAAGGTAAGTACTGCCTGGTGAGCGACAAGTTAACCCTAATTTGTGAAATAGATGAAAATCCGTACGAAGAGAGCTCTTATGATGTAGCTAGAAGGCTGCAAAACCAAAGTAGTTCGCCATGATTTCCTTTGTCTTGCACATAATATCTTAACTGCTGTATAGATCTCCATGATTCAGTTTCTACCAGCAAATTTCAGAGGAGGCAGAGGAGCATTTTAAATTTAGAGTCTGGGAACATAGATATGAACCATTTGGATGGAAATTTTGAGAGGGAATATTATAATCTACCTCAATACTTAGACTGTTCTCCAAATTTAGACGTGAGCGATCCTTCTCCGATTCAAATGCGACAGCCTCCTAATTTAATAACTCCAAAGAAGGTCAACACTAGGAAGAGAAGAAAAACAGGATGTGAATGGCCCATCCATTACTGTGTGTTCCTTGCTTGGGGAATCACCTTAATTGAAGCGATGCATATTGTAATTGTATACATTCCAGCGTTTATGGAAAGTCTTGGCAACTCTATTGGGCTGACAGTCCTCATCCTCTTCGTTATCCTGCTTACATTCATAACAATATTTGACATTGTCTGTATGGTCAGTGACCCATCAGAACCCTTGATGTATAAAGGTATGCTTTAAAAACACGATTTTGGGAAACTGATCCACCAGGGTTTCTGAAGAAAACTCAACATTTTTAATTTAAATGGCCTTATTTTTGCTCTAAAGTGCTAAGTCAAGCACTGTAGCTTACATTTTATCCTGGCATGGATGACAGATCTAGATCGTATTATCACTTAACTAAAGATATGCCAGCCAGATTATTTTGTAGGGTACTTTAAGGGATTTTTCATTCATAACTTGTCCAACAGAAAGGTAGATTTCTTTTTAACACAATGGTAAACTAGTAAACCAATATTATTTATAAAACTTAGATAGTAAATTCTCAATTTTTCAAACATGTGTCAACCAGTAGGAACTGAATATCATAAAATAGTAGATCTTCTTTACTGTCCTCGAGCCTGATGGGTCACTCTAGATCGGCTTTTTGAGTTGACCCACTATGACTCCTCTAGCGCTTAAGTCACTCCTTTATTAACTTAACTTAATGCCATTCTTAGGTTAGATCAAGCCCTATTTTCTTCTGATTTTTGTTGTTAAGAAACCGATTACAATTCAAAGCCGTTTGGAAAATTTGACTCATACTATAGAGAATGTAACCGATGAACATCTTTACGAGTTCGAATGTGATTCATGAAAATGATATGTCTCTGAAAGAACGAAGCACTGCAAGATATGCAACCGCTGAACTGAGAACTTCGACCATCATTGCATCTGGCTGAATAACTGCATTGGAGGGAAGAATTATAATTATTTCTTTCTACTCTTGTCCTGATACTGATTTTACACCTTAATGTATATTTTCTGAGGGATATACGCAATGTGAGTGATGATACCTGACCTCAAGAGAAAGATAGCCATTGTAACAACCTTGCTAACCTTAGTGATTAAGCTTCTAATCGCTGGTTTAACTTATGGTCTGCTCTGATTTCATATCTACCTCAGGTACAAAGGGATAACTACCTTTGAGTTTATCACCAAAAAGAGGAAGCAAAATAGTCGGTCAGTTTTACCACAAAACAGGACTCTCAAGAGCGACCCAGTCTTCAAAGCTGCTAGAAGAAACTTAAGTAAATTACTCTCTTCTAATCTCTAGGTGCAAGACATGCGATAAGGGGTAATTCTCTCTCTAACTCTCCTCATGATCTAGGCTCACTGAAGGAGAGTTCTATGGGAGAAGAGATGAAATTTGAAGGCAGCCACAAAGGTAATGTCCCTTTCTAATATCAAACTTCCTCACTACCCGACGGTGTTAAGGTATACTTCTAGTCCTCCACACAAAGATCCATGAAAACAAAGTAAGTATCCAAGAATAAGCCTAATTTTGTCAATAAAATTCCTGACTCTTCCCTTGGTTTGGAAAGGCACCCAATTGGATATCTCTAATTAAAGTGTTTAACTTTTTGGATATAATTAAGCCGTTTCAATTACTAAATAGCCCTTTGGGGTTTTGGGGTTTTGGGGTTTTGGGGTTTTGGGG